ACGAAGATGCTGCCCGCGCGTCGTTGCCGCGGCGACGGCGACGAAGCTCTCTCTTCATCAAGCTCTGCTCGTCATCGAGTGCAGGAAAGGATGTGGTCGATAAAAATCCGAACTCTGACCTTCGCGTTTACCACACGACAACGGAACGAGTTGGTGCCTACTCGACTCGGGAGTTTTTTCCGCCGAACTCTCGTCGTGGCTCCCTGCGACGTCCACAGTTTGCGCGGTGTCAAAGACACGAGAAAGAAGCCTCCCCAACCCTCCTCCGGGGGGTAGATCCCAGGCACCCCACTGCTTCCTCAGGGGGTGGAGGGCGCGGTCTTGTTTGCAAACTTCTTCTTTCGAGCTTCTTTGCCGTCTCTCTTGCACACCTCGGGTTTCAATCTTACCTCAGCCACCATGACCAACGTGACAGTTGTAGGCCGAACAGAGATAGTACCAGTGTGACCCATACTACTTCTCCCCCCCCACGGATGCTCTTCACTGTACATACGTAGCTTTCCGCTGCTTTGTGGCGTGAGTGTATGCGCGGATGCGTCGTGATGCGTGTAACTAGGGTTGTGTGATTACTGAATCCGAAATGAAATGACGTTCGCCACCTTCGAGCACTATCAGGTCGCTTCCTTTCGCGAGTTAATCTAAGAAGCTTGAATGAAATAGGAGAGGAATGACTATAGTCGCTCTGAGAGAGCGGAGGAGGGTGGGCTGCAGCGTAGGAGAAAGCCAGTGATTTTGCGGGGGACCTGATGATGTAAATTCAACTTTGTTCCTTTCGATGTTCTCCTCCGAGGCGGAGAGACAATTTTTGCATCATGTGCTTTCGATGGTTGTTTTGCTGGTTGGTGTTTCGAAGTGAATTTGAGAGCGAGAGAGAGCGAGAGAGAGCGAGAGCTTACAGGAAGGACACATGGGAAACATGGGGTCGCGCTGAGCATTTGTAAAGTAATTTGTATCATAGTCTGCTTTTGCATGTGCTTGTATAAAAAAACATAGTAATTAAGGTAGCGTAGAGAGATTTTCTAGACTGGCGCGTGCGCGTCGCATTCGGGCCCCGCACTGCAGGCGCGTGACGCTTACTCGTGATGCACGCGGCAGTCTACGTAGATTTTACTAGGGACTAAAAACTGGTTGCTCAAATGAAGTGACGCAGTGAGGGTGGACGCGCGGCGCCGGCGTACGTGCGGTAACTCGACGCGCGGGTAGCGGTAGCGGTAGCGGGTAGCGGGAGATCGTCTGCTCTGTGCTGCTCATTGTGTTCGTTGTCATCCAGCTTGTGACGTCATCATCATCATCACGTGCTCCCCCCACCCCCGCGTAGGTGGTAGCGCGCACATCTGACACGAGAGGCTGTGTGGCTAGCTAACGTCGTGACGTCAGGGTGGCTGTGTGGCTAGCTAACGTCGTGACGTCAGGGTGGCTGTGTGGCTAGCTAACGTCGTGACGTCAGGGTGGCTGTGTGGCTAACACACATGAGTACCCCTCCCACAGCAGCCAACCGCATGAGCCACCATACACAACATCACAGTGTGGAGTTAGCAAGTGTTCACAGCCTCTCGTTCAGATGTGGCCGTACCATGGCTTGTATACGCACACGCACGCACGCACGCACGCACGCACGCACAAGCACGCACGCACGCATGCATGCACGCACGCACACACGCACGCACGCATGCACACATGCATACACGTGTAGAGATTTGCCACTTTGTTCGTGTGCATCTCACTGGCGCATTCATCCAAGTCACGGCTTCACCCCCACCCCTACACACACCCCACCCCACACCCACCCCCACCCCTACACACACCCACCCCCTACACACGCCTCTCGTCCGTTCACCTGCTTAGCAGTCTTGCCAGAATGCATCGAGTATCGCTAGTCTGTCCGTGAAGTGTCCGACGAGGATGATGATGCCTAGAGGCGGGTCGCTCTGTGCGCGTACGCCGCGCGTGGGAGGGAACCCCCGTATAGCCGCTCCTCGTGAAGCTGATTCAACGATGTACCGAAATCTCGTACTGGCTAGAGACGTACCCGTGTTACGATGAGCGTTGCCACGGTTACGCTACACTCGCGTATTCCGCGTTGCCGCACGACCTGTTCTGTGTGAGTGCGTGCGTGCGTGCGTGTGAGCTGTGACGGCATGGGCATGGCGTGCGTGCGCAATGCAGGGGAGTTTTGTACGCCTGTGTTAGTACTATGCTGACTGACACCTACCCATCTATGTCCCTGCGTCATGACCTGGCAACACTGATCATGCATGCCAGCGTAATAGCAGCAACTGTGGGGTCCCCCCCCCCTCATACGTTAACTACTTTACTACTGAGTATATATATACATACATACATCTATATATATATATACTTGAGGCACAACAACCTGTGAATTTTAATGACGAGACGCATTGCTATAATGACAAGCTGCATCTTTTTAACTCGCAAACGGTTTCTGTTTTTACTCTGTTGTGTTAACCGCCCTGCCACTGTTGTCCGGTCGCCTCTCTTATCTATCTATAAACGTGTCCGCGTCGGTCGTTCAAAGAGCTGGTAACGTCAGTAAAACTGTTAACTGCCATTTTTAACGAAGCCATGATCATCGCACAATAAACCTACCTGGGCAATGTGTTGCATCCTCCATCACAGTGTAAATGCTGCTGCTGCGTCCCAACAGGGATATAAGGTCTGTGGAACAGACTGGACCCCCCCCCCCACCTCCTCTAGCTGTATCGTGGTGGCAGGGTCGGTGAGTATTTTATACCTTTTAGAAGACGAAGCAACCTTGTATATAGTGATTTGAGTTTGTGGTTATTTTTGTAACAGAGTTTTTAACCGATCCATTTTAAGACTACATCAGCACGCCCATTTTACCTATATATCTCACTGCGCGCACGTGTCTACAAGCCCACTGCCTGTTTTTACGAAGAGCCAGTGCAACTTGTCTTGGGCCATTATGTTATTACACACTGTCCTTTACACAGAGAGCCTCTACTATCGCTCCACTACACGTCTGTTTATAGGTGAAAACCAAACTTTACAGTAGAAAAGGGTTTTTGTTTACAATAGGGAGTAATAGCTCTATGAGCCGTACACGGGTTTTGATATGTAAATCCTCCCTCCCTCCCTCTCTCCCTCCCTCCCTCCCCCCACCTACAATATACATGTTGGTAAGAAAGTGATGCGTTGTAAAGGAGGGGGAATGGAGTCCTTCAGATAGCTGGTTCAATGATGTGGCATAACTGTGTATGGGCTGGATAGCGGTTAGACTGTTCATTCTGCCACAATTCACAGGTAATTCAGTAATTAAATGCAAGGAACGTCTATAATCAGGATTAGAAATTATGCATGAAGAGCTGAGATGAGTTTTTTTTTGTCTTGTTTTAATCACAGGCGGCAATGCATGTGAATGGTCATGAAGAGCGAGCGTCTGCATTTTACCATTCTGTGTGATGTGTCCGATTCAGCAACAATTTCAACTTTTATACTGTTGTTAAATCGTCTAAATGTCTATGCCTTAAATGTGGCCAACTTTCCGACCTCACACACTCTCATCTCATTTGTATACTGCAACTGCAATAGTGCTAATGTAGAAATTCGCTGTCATGGAGCAGGCATCTCTTTGCGGTTTCCATTGTATTTCCCCGTGTTGCATGGCTCCAAGATACCGCTGCATCTACATAATGACGTGTTTTCAAACAAGAGTACGTTCATCGGTCGTCGCCGACTTTTGTCTCTGCGTTGCCAATGTTTTTTCGAAACCCGAAGAAAGCGGCGCAGAGATTAAAGCTTCGATGACTCGATTTGATTCAAAATTTACGATTCGATTTTTCATCTTCGATATCTCCTACGCCATGTTGAATAGCAAACGCTTAGCTTTTTATTTGAAGTCGAGAATGTCATCTCAAAGTGGGGCTGTCTCTTTTATTACAAAATGAATACTTTCGAAATGCGTTTATAGATAAGGTGATTGAATGATTGTGAACTCGAGCGTGCCGTTTTATAATAACAAGGTCGTGTGAAGGTCGTGACGAACGACCTTCATGTCAAAGGAGGCAAGTCGTTAGAGAGCGGTTGATTCAAGGTCGATGATGACCACGCGCGTGGCGGTGGCTCGCGTACGTTACTGCGCGGTAGAACAGCCACGATGTTAGCCTTCAACTGTATAAACCAAGCATTACGCAGCTTTTGTGTAGTTTCACTGTCAAGCTTCATACTTCAAGAAAGCTGAATATTTAAACCTATGATCGGTGTTTGTGTTTTCGTTCTCTACTCGTTTCATTAAGGGGAAAAACATGACGTCAAACATTTTGTTGTTGCGTTAGCATTTAATTTTCAATAAGTGTACAGATTTAAGGCTCAACTATAAGCTAAGCTAAACATTGACGCAATGTTCTTAATATACATGAAGTTCAGATATATACATGAACTGAGGAGTAAATGGAAATTAATATTAACACTGACAACACTGTCATAAACAACTCATGAAACCGACCTATCTGCGTCAATATTCACTTTACCATATCATCAGATCCTCTCCGTTCAAATGATACACAATTTGCCTTTGAAATAATCGAAAAAGTTCGCCGAATAGTAGACCTGAACACGGCACAAACAAGACTGTACAACAACCACTATAACCTTTACTATATATATATGTATATGTATATATGTATATATGTATATAGTAACCACTGAATATATATACAGACAATTACAAAGGCAATTGGGATGAACTTCTGCCTACAGGTTGACCCACGATTTTTGGCTCCTCAACTGTAGTAGTTTACCTTCTCGCTGCTGTGACGTGTTATGCAGGTACTGTCTCACTGCATTATTTTCAAGCAACTAAGTGTGATCATTACTTTCGACACATGCCATCTTCAAAGGATCCCTTTTAAGTTTAGCTTATTTGACTCCGTCATTCCATATTGGAATTCTCTCCCTTCCTCTTTAGTTAGTTGCAAACTTGAGATTTTCTACTGCGATCTGCAGTGTTGATCTGTCTATTGGATCAACTTTGTCTCTTTCCGTCTTCGATATATAGTCCCTTGGACTTTGAAGACTAATATTTACGAGGTGTTGTATATAGGTGCCTAGTGTGAGCTGTTTAGCTAACCGGTAGTAGGTGCCAATGGAATTATCAGAGGTTACCACATATAGATTAGATGGTCTAGAAAAAAATGGTGGTCCAGCATGGCTTCGATCACAAGGATGCCTGAATATCGGTGGTCAACCTGTACATGCACTCGGTGGTAAACAAATGAGCATCCTTTACGGCTATGTCTGCTGACATTGCTGAATTGCATGGTGTCTAGAGCATAGACTTTTGTAACTTCCAACTGATATGCACACGGACAAACTGGAAGACATTGTTTGAAGAACAGATCCGTATATAATAAGGCTGGTATTTTTTTCTATATACACGGATGTACTAACCTGCACACGAAGGTATGAAGTGTAAGAATCACCCAGTAGAGCAATTCCGTCCATTCATACCATTTCAACGACACGTCCAGCATTTAGATCCCTTATTTTACTTCACAGTAAGTTAGGTACAATAATGTAACCCAACAAGAGTAGGGAGCACAAATGTATCCCCTACTCTTGTTGGGTAACATTATTGTACCTAACAGTAAGGATACAGAGCACATGAATACGCGTGCGAACACGGCAATCGTATACTTAAGTATGCTAGCCATTGCTAGGAAAAACTGCATCGGATTTTAACTGAGAAACAAGGAAAATCACATGACTTACCGTACCGTACCGTACCGTACGACTACGATCTAGTACAGTATTATGGAGCAACACTTATTCAACATTCGTCCACACGATCTTAAATAAAGTATATAATTATGTTATTCCTAACATAACATTCACATTTACATTATAGTATTACTTATGACCCGTTAGGACGTTAAACGCAGAGTCCTACTACGACTGAGATTGTAACTTAGATACACACAGTAGTACAGTTACTGGTAGCTTTACATTATTGACTTTACACGTATAGTTCAACCAAACTGCAACAGAACTTCCCTCAGCTCACATTCAATTGTACATATTGCGATTGTTACCGTAAATACGCTGCGTGGTTATCCATTTACGCTTTTACTCGTAACTGCAGGCACTACTGTATTAAATAACACCTTGATCTTAATTTATACATACTATGCGTAAGGAATAACCGTTGTCATGATTTTTTTCTTCAAAACACGGTCTAAGAGAAGAGACAAGCGTGGCTGGTGCTGCATCCTATTATAGTTAAAACTTTAATTATTAGATTTTAATCAGTCCACATGCCAGGCTTAATTGTTCAATTGCTATTAGAAATGGATAACTACTTGGACTTCAAAACCAGGAGCCCGTTGTCAGAAACATCATAAAGTTAATGTTAAGACTAAAGCTAAGACTAATTTTGTTTCTGACAACGGGCCCCTGGTCATTAGTGTTTATTCATGGCGGAACCATTGGCCGTTTTGTCTCGAAAACGACGCACAATGATGTCATCCATTAACGACCACTGCCAAGTTTTAAACACAGCCATCTTATTCATCTCTCATTGATACCAAACATTGAAAACCGTTGCGTAGCTCAAATAACAATTTTAACTACGCATAACACGAGCAGCCTTGACCAAACCAGCCGTCGATAGTAACAACAGTTCCTTTACAATGTTTACACTGGCTGGTACGAAGTCTAGACTCCAACAAAACAGTCAGGATGTATGCTTAGTTCATCAGAACTGAATGTTCAGCCAAGGATGGCTAGCGGACAACTTCTCTTTCGAAAGATGAACTGGCTGGCATAACATATTTAACTCGTCTATAAGGAGAATTAAGGATGTGAGCTAGAAACTGTGTAAAATGGCGAGAGCTATCTATCGCATTTAGCATTAGTATAGCACACGCTGCCCTTTTCACATTTGAATTAATTAATAACTCATGGTTGTCCCACTGCAGGTGGGTTCACTCCTTCTTGTTCACGTTCCGAGTTCAATCTTCTTTTTCCAGCAACAGTTGTTCCCCGTTGCTCAGTTACATTCACTCACAGAATGACTTACCATGCAGCCATTATTCGTTTCAAATATGCATCAGGAACTTCTTAATACCTGCAAGAATATGGAATAGAATAAATAAAAATGTAAAATTCATTTTTTTTCACTACAGATGGCACTGTCGTCAATCTATAAAATACTAACGAGTTTAAAAGTTAGACAGCTTACAATAAATGTGTAACACGAAACCGCTCTACATTAATTAACATCAGTGTCCATTAATTAAGCTGATATATAATTGGTAATTTAGCTGATTAACTAAATGTCAATCCTAAAGCAGTTGAAATAAACACGACACGTGACAAACGACTTTTGATCTTAGCCGGTGTTCCCCGGTAGTTACAAAGTACAGCCACACTGCAACAAGCGTGATATAAAAAAATGTCAAGCAAGCTGATCAGTGTCTGCATGTTGATAACAAACTGTCTTCCTGGATACAAAAAAACACGTGTATGTACAGTGTAAAATGTGAACTACACCCCTATGTACACATATATATATATATACATACATATCTATAATATTCCTATCATGCATGTTATAATGTAGCTGCGCTTTGTAAATAATATAATAATATGCTTTCCCCACCGCGTGGTGAATGGGTGCACCGCAGCTGACAAACAGAGTAAAACGATCTCTATGCTACGCCACGCTCACGCCACCCCGCCGACGGTATGGTGAGCGGGGGGACACTACAGGACATATACAGAGTTAAGATGAGCCCCACTCTACATCATGTTTATGCTCCCCCCCCCCCACACACGCTGACCGTGCAGCAAGCAAAGATGGCGTCGCAAACAAGAGAACTCACTCGCGGCGCGTTAGGCTTTGGGCGCCCCCCCCCCCACGTAGCGAGCTTACGCGGCGTTGCAAACAAGAGAACTCACTCGCGGCGCGTTAGGCCTTGGGCGCCCCCCCCCCCACGTAGCGAGCTTACGCGGCGGTGCAAACAAGAGAACTCACTCGCGGCGCGTTAGGCCTTGGGCGCCCCCCCCCCCACGTAGCGAGCTTACGCGGCGGTGCAAACAAGAGAACTCACTCGCGGCGCGTTAGGCCTTGGGCGCCTGCAGCTGTGCTTGGAGCTTGATGATTCGCTTGCCCAGGTTGGCGTTGTGCTGCTGCAGGTAGCGAATCATGTCGGCTTGCTTCTCCAGAACGTCGTCCAGCTGATTGTCATCCCTGCGACGAAACAAACGCATCGTCGTCGACATTAGAACGCGGGCAATTGTGTACATGCAGCGTCTGGCAGCAGTGGGTGACAAGAATCGTGTTAGCAATGACCGCTCATATCACTCGCTTTGCCGTTTAGACTTATCTAACGATGTGGCGACTTCCCGGTAAAAAATCTTACGTGATAGCAACGTGTTGTTCAGTTTACTAACGAAAATGTGTGAGGAAAATCATAATGATAAAGTTGTCGAAGACACACTTACTTATCTAAAACATCTACGCAGTACGCAGCTACTCTATGAACTAGACAGAGTGCACTCACGGAGAGTGCATACCTCCGCCAGCATGTAACATACATGTATGTGTTACGAGCTGGCTCGCTGTGCTGCCTGGCTGGCTGGCTCGCTGGCTGACGCGCTAATATCGATCGCGCGAACACACGAACACACGAACACCAGACTGGTATCCGGTCCCACCTCTCGGCTTAGTTACTTGATGGGGGAATCGAGGTGGGAGCGAGTACCAGTCTAACGCGAACACACGAGAGCGAAAACATAACCTCCTCCAACTCCGTTGGGCGGAGGTAATAACTGATGACAGTTTGATCTACAGGTTTATATCGATGTTATGGTATGTAATTTATTACATGACATATCTCACAATAATATCAGAACATATTGTGTAAGCAATAAGTTCTTATGCTCTTCACTAAACTCAATACGCATTAATATGTAACAATTTGGAATCATTTCCTTATATTTCTTCAGTGATACCTGAATCCAATTTCTGAACTGTTGACATGGGACTGCATGTAATGCGACAGTAGCTCCTCCTGTTGGACATCTGGGCAAGCTTTTTCACTATTGAACTTGATCGTCTGAACTGAAATCAACGAAACAGCACGTCGTCACAGAAACAATCGGACTGAAATTTTTATCGCAACATTCGACGCATCATCGATGAGCTACTAAACGAAACTCGCACAACTACCCTTCGTTTAGGGTTCCTACTTCTCATATTCAATCGTGTTTGTGTGCAGGCGTTTGTGCGTGCGTGTCTGTGTTGGTGTGCGTGTGCGTGTCTGTGTTGGTGTGCGTGTCTGTGTTGGTGTGCGTGTGCGTGTCTGTGTTGGTGTGCGTGTCTGTGTTGGTGTGCGTCTGTGTGCACGCACCAAATCTTTAGCAATTCCACAAAAAATGTATAGCCGTTTTGAGTGTGCGAACGCATAGACCTGAACCAGTGCAACTGCGACATGCGCTTAAATTGTAACATGTATTACTAAAGTCTACACACTGCAGACAGTGTCTGATGCTGCATACAGCCAGTGAGCAGACTTCAGTGCGCTTGACATAGACTGCCAAAAATCAATATCTCTAGACATGCAAGGATTTGCGAAGTTCTGTTTGCATCGGCTCCGGCCGAAGTCAAACTACTTTTTTAGCAAGTTAATTTACTGACTAAACTTGATCAGACAATCAAATGTATTGACTATTTACATAATAAAATGTCCCATCAGAATTAGCAAAATTTATAGGGGGGGGGACAAAAGGCATTCGAGCATTTTGTTACAACTGTTACCAAAGCTTTATAAATTGAACCGTGCTCTTTACAATGCCGCCGCGCTTCCATCACATTCATTATACATGCATTTTATTATCACAAAATGAGCTGAAAAACCGCCATTACGCCGAAATGGCAAAAGGAACATGGTAAATGTTAACACGTAAAAATACGGGGAAATACGTCATCAGTCGATCGGAACACGCACACGCATCTATTATGCAAAATTACGGGGAATTCTACTATAAAATAAAACAAATTGTGCTTACCGAGGTACACAAAGAGACAGGCACACACGCACACAGTCTCGAGAGAGATGATGATCTGTAGATAGTTTGTTCGAGTGAACAGCGTACCAGCACAACGGTCGTCCAGTCTGCAGTAGTCTGCTAGAAACACGACGACCACCAGAAGCAGTACGTTGGCTGTAACAAACACTGGCACGAGTCAGAAACAAACAGGACAAACAGAACAACTGGCTTACACATAAAATAGCTGACACAGTATATGTTCTGATTACGAAATATGTCATGTGATAAATTACTCCCCATATAATCAAGATAAACCTTTAGATCAAACTGTGTCAGCAGTTATTCATAAAATAGAAGCGTAGATGTTTGAGATTTTCCGTACCTGCGGAACAGAACACCAGAGGAGCTCTGCGGATGAGTTTCGTGCGTCTGTAGAACTCCAGGTATCCGTTACGCCGCGACACGCGATGCTGCTGGCCGAGGTAAGCGTCTGCTAGCAGCATGAAGAGCCACGTCGCAGCGTGGCAGTACAGGATGATCGAGTAGACGGAGGTCGTCGAGTCGTTGGGCAGGTCCACGAGGTAGGGCAGGGTGAAGACCAGAGTCTCTAGTAGAGCCTGTAACGTGTTAGCAACGTGAACGCAGTCAACACCGACATTCTCGTTAAATAGCCCACCCACGACTGACTAAGTATATCTATGACCCTAGATATATAATATGATATATATATATCAGGGTACAAAATACACGAGAGCGATGAGCGACTCGCTCTTCAAACCTCCGAAATCGCTCCCGTGAGGCTCAAAATAGCTCCCATAAAATTTTTGACGAGAGCTATTTTTTCCACAGACTTGAAAAAGAGCTCATGTGAAATAAAAGTAATTTTTTCCCTGATATATATATATATATATATATATATATATATATA